GGGGGGGGGGGGGGGGGGGGGGGGATAGTAGGAGATATTGTCCCCTTCTCCTCTCCTGATCTTTTTTGTGATTGACGCTCTAGCCTGAGTATCAGGCGTTTCTGGGGGAAGAAAAAGAGAGAAGTCAAACGGGGAGGGGAGAGAGCGAAAGGAGAGAAACAACTCTCTCTCTCTTACCCCTCCCTCCTTTAGATCGTGCACTTGAAGTGCTCCACGAGATATGGATAACATAACATAACATAACATAACATAATCTTTATTTAACGTGGGAGAAACACTTAGCTGAAGCTATTTTGCAGGTTTTCCACAATTATTTTTGCTAGTGATACAACTGCACCATAAACAAGGACTGCTATTGTATCCGTAATTTCCCAACTTTGGAAGTAAATTCACGTGCCACCCAGTAATTTTACCGCCTACTAGTAAATCTCTACCAGATATGATAAGGGCTATCCTAATACTGAACGAGCGGGCACTCCGCTTCGTTTATCAGGACAAAATCTGTACTTATGAGACACTAGTTGTTAAAAATGGATATAGCACATTAGCAAATCAAAGACTTGCAATTGGTAATGGAAACATACCTTCAAGTATTTCCGAGTTATTGACGGCACGAGTCCAATTATAATTTACGTGGTGATGCTATTTTAAAGTTACCTAAAGTAAACTCAACAAAGTATGGGATCAAGTCATGGAGATACCAGGCTGCCCGACAATGGAACACTATTCCAAATAATTTAAGAAATATTGATAGTTACCGCAGTTTTAAACGTGGACTCAAGGAGCTCGACCTTGCAAGTTTATAGTCCCTTTCGCAATTTAACTTAGTTTTTCTTAGTATTATATAGTTTCTGTAATCTTAGCGACTCGCCTAAATTACCTTGCAATCCTCTGGATAATACAAGAAAATTCCTGCTCTTCTCACTGTATGGGTCGATCAGCAACCCTCGCTGAGTAAAAATTATCTCTGTTTGATCTTTTCTGTAAACCTTAGGCCAAAAAATTAACTGTAACTCCTTCTCTAAAATTCCTAAAATTTGGTTAAAGTTCAGGTGTAAAATTTGGAACGTGGGATGGCTGTATCGGTTGTGTTCCAGAGCTGGTGTGGGGATACCTTGAGGTCAGGGTGATGGGAGGTAGTAACACATGTTTTGAAATGTGAAATACAATAATTTAATGAAAGTTTGTAGTTGGTGTCATTTCATTTCTGGCCCAATAGGTCGTGAATTGAGACGAGTGGAGCAGTATGGTCTTGTAATTTTGATCAGCCTTCCTCTCTTTATTTTGGCTTGTGCGGGATCAACAGTGTTTTGGATTATAGGTGAGTAAGAATGTTGTAAGTTTTCATATTTCTCTCTTTAGTAAAATTTTATGTCTAAACGAAAGGCAGTTATAGTATGGGGTAATAGGCTCCAGGTTCCCCCGGGCCACTATACAAGGTTAAGTGCTTAGCATTTGATATGGAAATGATTTTTCAACCTCACGCAGATAAAACTCTTTGCAAGAAAGATTGTGCACTTGCCTTCATTTTGAAAGTGAGGGTTTTTGGAACCTGGAAGTGGCGAATTCTTAACTTCTTTAAAGTTTGAGCCATCACTTGACCTACCCCAAGGGCATGGCCCAAGGACTGCAGAAGAGTTTTCATTCGTTCTTGCCATTCTCAGACTCAAAAGTTAGAATCACCCTGTACAGTGTAGTAAACAGTACCACAGGAAAGTACTACTCAGTAGCTTTTATTTGAATGGCCACACATTGAATTTAATTTACAGTTATAACTGTTTTTTATAAATTATATGCCCTCTAATGGTAAAGGTTGACAGGTCATTTATTTTTTTATCAGGTGCGTCATTCTTTATTATTGGCCTCCACGCGTCACTCTTAAGCACCTCCGACACTCCTGAAATAACAGAAGAACTGACCATGGAAGAAGTTTAGATTTGTCTTAGTTTCAAGTTGCTTAACATGTAACACTGATAACACCACTGGTTTTGAATCATAATAGACAGACACTTAAATATGAATGTTTTGGTTCAAATTTTATATCCCCTCGAATCTGGGTCTTGTGAACATATGTAAGATTATAGTGATAGACAAAGTACAGAGGAAAATAATACCAAACAAAACAACTGCGACAAAAAGTCAGCCACATAGTTGAGATTTTTCAAATAGGGATGGTGAAACTTCTGTAATATATACAGCAAGTATTTAAGTAATAAGTTTCTTCACTGTTGTGCTGCTTTAACAAACAGTTTCAGTTATTTTTGTATGACTGTAAACTATGTAAAACCTTGATCTAAATCTTTAATATTGTACCTCCCTAATAGTGCAAAACAATGCACATAAAAACCGCTCATTAAGGTTATTTAGGTCAAGGTTTTACAGAATATACTACAGTCATACAAAAATACTTTGTACCTGTTTGTATGCACAATAATGCACTAAACTTAGTGCAATAATTTAGAATGATGCAATGAGGGTGTATGATATGAAATAAAGTTATGATGACACCTCTGGACATACTTGCTGAGAATCATCCTGACAAACATCAATCCAGATTATAACGTCTAAATAACGACAGGACACCCAAGAAACCACAGGAAGCCCAAAGATTAGTGTGCTGCTTGCCTGGGGGCTTGCAGCAATATAATACAGTCGTGGATCCAGGGGAGGGCCCCCGGCGGGGGGGGGGGGGGG